AGTCTGTGTTGGACTCTAGGCTTGTGTGTGTGTCTGCTCCCCCCCTCCTCTCCCCAAAGGAGAGAAATAGCCTGCCTAAGGATAGAAAGGGACGGAGCAGCCTTTCAATCCAGAACTCATAGCCCAGGAAATTGCTGCACTGTCAGAAAGCCAAGAGGATGAACCTAGAAGGGTCCTGAGGGTGTTTGGTGGTTGTCCTCCCTCAGTCCCTGCTAGCTGTATGTAGAATCCAAAGGGCCAGAAAGAGCAGCTGGACAACAGGTATGACTGGCCTCTCTCTCTCTATATAAAAGGCTAATATGCTAAGTGTCTGTCCGATTGGTAGCTATGATGTGCACTGACCACCAGGGGGCAGACGCTCAACGCTGCCGGGCTGCAGTGACTTGGCAGCAGCGGTTCTCCGGTGACACACCCTGAAACCAGAGAAGGGGGAGCCCAATTCCTCATGGGGCTGCGCGATTCCACCTTTGGCTGGCTGTGGGTTATGTTGTTGCTGGGGCACTGTCAGCCTCGAATCTGGTTTACTGCACACTTGCATTTATTCCACACCCTGTACTACAGCAACTTTGCAGAGTGCTCTCTCACACTCCGGGACTCCTCGGGGGATGTCGGAGAGCCAGTTTCAGCCCAATCCCTGCAGGCAAGGCCGAGGGACCCCACTTGCTGGAGGGACCCTCCCCCCTCACTCCACAGCCGCCCTTCAAGCCACGACACCACCCCAGATGCAGCTGGCTGGGGAGGAACCGAAGCAGGTTGGCTCCAGGGCATGTCCAGTCTGTCTTGCCCAGTCCCGCCCCACCAGTCACTTTCTAATTAATTTCCTTTCAATGTGCACGAATCTGTGCACCGGGTCACTAGTATAAGTAATAACATTGTTTACAATCAGTGGGACAATTTTCAGCTGTTTCATAAGATAAAACAGTACTACTTGGCATTTTCCTAAGGTCCATCTATATAAGAAACACTTTTGAAATAGTAATACAAAAGTTACAGTTTTTCAACCCATGAGTTGAAATAATCATTTCCTTTTTATTTTTAAATATATTTTTATTGATTTAAAAGAGGAAGGTAGAAGGAGAAAGAGGCAGAAACATCAATGATAAGAGAGAATCATTGATTGGCTGCCCCATCATGCCCTCTACTGGGAGTCGAGCCTGCAACCTTGGCATGTGCTCTTGACTGGAATTGAACCTGGGACCCTTCAGTCCATAGGCTGATGCTCTATCCACCGAGCCAAACCAGCTAGGGCAATAATCATTTTCTTAAGCAATGTTAAGAACTTCACAGTCTTACTGAGTTATTTATTTTATGGGTGAAGAGATGCAGTTGTCATTGAACTGTTCTTGATATTTCCAGTTTATTTGTCATAAGTAAAGATGTTGAATAGCATTTAATGGACTGGTTTTATTTAAGAGGCACAGCCGTGCATGTAGACTTTAGTGTCAGATGGAGAGGCTGCTGGAGGTGGGGGTGGGTAAACGAAGTTCTGTCAGGTCCTCAGGAGGTCCCTGAAGATCTACCAGAGCCATCTGCGTTTCACACCTAAGTCTCTCTAAAAGTAATTCCTGTTTTGATGAATCACAGTCAACTTATTGTCCAACCAGGTTCACTAAAAAAGCAAAAGTCAAGCCCTGGCCAGTGGCTCAGTTGGTTGGAGTGTTGTCCCGTACACCGAAAGGTTGTGGATTCATGCCTGGTCAGGGCACATGCCCAGGTTGTAGGTTCCTTCCCCGGTGGGGTGCATGCAGGAGGCAGTGGATAGGTGTTTTGCTCTCACATGGATGTTCTCTCTCCCTCTCCCTTCCTCTCTCTCTAAAATTAATTTAAAAAGTTCCTTTTAAAAAACAAATAAAAAAGCCCAAAAGTCAACAGAAGAAAAAATGTCTGTCTATTCCACCAAGTTTGCTTAAGCATGTTAGCATTTCTATAATGAAGAGTTAGAAAGAGTTGTTTGCATATTATGATCCTCCTGTGCACCTGGAGAAAAAGGGAGAATTAGGAGAGGGCTCTGGACCACTCTCCCCCAGGCTCCAAGTTTTTCTTTACCTCAAGGCCTTCAAGGCTCCCTCCACCCCTTTCCATGTTCTGATACACATGTAAAATGACAACATGCATGTGGCACACGGGGGTAAATGGAGGCACAGAAATGTGGGTCTTCCACTAAGGGTCAATCTATAATAAATATATTACTCATTCTAAGCTCCCCTATTGGAAGATCAGCATATAACATTAGGACTTCACACTGAAGAAGGTGAAGGAAGCAAATGGAAAGATACTATTGGGACCAATAGTCAACCTTCCATTCTCCCCAAATGTGAGTTCATGAATGATGAAAAAGAAATCATAAATGGGGGAAATGAAGTAACACATCAGAGATTAAAAAGGAATTAAATTTCCACAGTTCTGGTACCAGAGCACCTCCCATAAGCAAGTGGTTCATTTTTAATTTGGCTATTGTGATGATGTGAGCATGCGGTGAACTCATTATAAATAAGAGGCAAAGAGGAAAGTGCCAAGTTAAAATTAAAATGACAATGTTCTGCAAAGGTGGATGGAGCATGTTGGCAGCAGGTTCTTTATTAGATCCCAGCTGAGGCGGAGGGTCCACCTGTAACTTGCTCTGTAGAAACTTTGCCTCTAGACCTGGCGGCCCAGGAACTGTTGGGCCTTCAAATGGGGCACTTGAGGCCAACGGGCTGAAGAGACTGGAGCAACCAAGGCTGGTGCTGAGCTTGTGTGGAGAAGACAGCGCAGGAGGAACCGGAGGGACCCCGGCTGGGGAAAATAGGCAGATAAATGCCTTCTATGGGCCAGGGACTGCGCTGGGTGGCTTCTCCACCATGATCTTGTCCAGTTGGTATTAATGTCCCATTTCACAGATGAGGAGACTGAGGCTATTTGTCAAATGGAGGCGATGAAGTTTAGAGAGGTCAAACTAAGCTAGCAGGTACTGGAACCCAACCTGGAACCCAGGCCTGCCGGATTCCAAAGCTTATTTTACACTCCGCCCCTGTTCTTGTCTCCCGCCGCCCCTTCACTCTCACGCTCACACTAAACCACAAAGAAGCCAGACAAGGGGAAAAGGAATCTTTCTAATCGCCACTAATAACCCACACTCATCCTTGCTAAGAGGCTGAATCAACTTTTCCAAGAAAGAAAACGGCTTAACGGGTAAGCAGAGTTGAGCTCCTAAAACAACGTCTATGGCCTGGGCGGCATTTGGCTTCGAAATGGCCCTCCCGGGTCTCTCGCCTCATTTTAATCCCCCCTTTCCTCCCTGGAGCCTTGATCTGCACCGCTATGGGGGTGGGGGGAACAGCATCTGCACGCCTTGAGCGGCACCCAGCTTCGGCGCCCCCTCCGAGCGCCCTCCCGCCGCCCCTGGCCCCCTCCCGGGCACTCTGTTATCCACCCCCCGCCCCCGCCGAGGTGCCCAGAGACCCCTCATCTCCTGGCGCGCTCGGAACCCGCCAGCTCCACCGGAAAGCGGCGCGGATCGCAGTCCCGGCGGGCTGGGCACCCCCGAATGTCCCCTAGCCTCAGTCCACGGTCTCCCCTCTTCGCTTCGCGACTGGCGGTTCGAGTCCCAAACTGGAGGCTGTGAGAGAAGACGGGGAACGGGACCGGGCGCGGGGCAGAGCCGAGTGTAGGTTCCGAGGGCGCCGTGCCCCTGGACGGTGCGCGCGGGCCGGTTGGCCACGGGGAGAAGCGGGGCGCGCATCCTCTTGCTCCGCCCTGGACCGCAGTTACCCCGCCGCCCAGGTGGCCTCGCCCGCAGCTCGGGAGGCTCCCTGCCCCCCGCCCCCCCCCCCCCCCAAAAACTGCCTGGACGCGACCACCGCACTTCGAGCAGCCCTGCCCTCGACCGCTAGGGAGCCGGTCCCGACGCGCCCAGGGTCTGCGCCGCCTCTTCCCGAGGGTCTCCGGGGTGCCACCCACAGCCCCCAATTCCAAGATGCCCCCAGGGCCTTTCCATCTCCCGGGCCCGCGGCGCCGCGCGGCCTCGGGATACTCACCGCCCAGGGCGCGCAGGGCTGCGGCCTCACTGGGCTCCCGGCCCGGATCCTTGGACTTGCTGTTTCCCTCGGAGCCCCCTGAACTGCTGGGCGTAGAGATTTGTTGCAGTGTCGCCTATCATCCTGGATTTGTGGGTGCCTGCGGCTCGGCGCTCCACCCGGCTCCGTGCGCCGGCTCCGTGCGCTCGGCGTGGGGCTCGGCTCCTCTGTCGCTTGATGTCGAGCCAGGTGAGCGTCTGGGGAAGCTTTGAGCTCGAGGCCTCCGTCTTTAAAAAGGGTCCTTTGGAGGGAGCCCGAACCTAACCTGAGCTCCCTTCCAATCAGTGCAATTTCAAATCTCCAGGCTCGTTCATTCCTGTACCGGCTAATTCTGGTTTGGCAGAAAAAAATTGCAGTCTCCTCACGTGCACACTCTTGTGGCCGGTCGTAGATTATAGCTTTGGCTGAGGCTCGCTAATGGCTCTGCACATTTTTATTACTGAAGGCGAGGACCTGAAACCGAACCCAAGATGCAGGTGAGAACAGGAGTATCTTCCATTGCTCTGAGATAGGAGACCCGTGATGCAAAAGACCCCCACCCAACTCTGGGCCACAAAATATGGCAGTTTGTAGGTGCAAGAGGAGGGCAGGACTGGCAGTATTCTTGGCCAAAGAGGACTGAAAAATCCCTTCTCCTTTGTCCCATGCTGGGTCCCACAGCTCCCTGCTTTTCCTCCAGTATCTGACGGTTTGTCGTTCCTTACCTTTGTTCATGGGCACCAGACACAAATTTCATTTCCACGTATGACTACTCTGTTCCCAACACAATGATTTGCCCATGGAAACATTTTAATATCTGTGAGGTGAATGTTGGAATAAAGGAAGCCAGGGCTATTTTACTGTAGTAGTTTCCTATTGCTGGTTGGTGTAATAAATTATCACAAACTCAGTGGCTGAAAACAGCACAGATTTATTATCTTGCAGTTCTGGAGGTTAGAAGTCTGAAATAGGTTCTAGCTGGCTAACCTCACGGTGTTGGCAGGGTTGTGTTCCTCCTGGCAGCTCAGGCAAGAGCCACCAGCTCCTCGGCTCATGGCCACTTCCTCTGTCTTCAAAGCCAGCAGTGTTACATCATTATGTGCCTTTCCCCTATAGTCACACCACCTTCTGTCTCTCCTGTTCTCCCTCTTCCACTTTGAAAGGCTCTTGGGATTACACTGGGCCTATCCCTGGTTATTGGGTTATTGGATAATCCAAATAATCTCCCTGTTTCAAGGTCAGCTGATTAGCAATCTTAATTCCACCTGTGACCTTAATTTCCCTTTGCCATGTAAGGTAACATACAGGATGCAGGGATTAGGCTGTGGCCATCTTTGAGAGACTGTTATTCTATCCACCCACAATTTCTTTCTTTCTTCCTTTCTTGTTTCTTCTTTTTTTTTGCAAGAAAGAATAGTCACATGCATTTCACATCGCCACTTCTTAATCTTGATTAAAAAATAATTGAGAACACTGAGAAATTGTGGCTAAGTGAGGACATTTTGATGAGGCACTGGGCTTATGGGTGCAAATGTTTTACGTTTGCTCATCAGAACATGAGCAATTAGGTGCTTAGTGTTCTCTTGGGCTGTCCTCCAATACCACTCATTTCAGCAAGGCTTTTGACAGCAAGTCAAGATTGGGGTTCCTGGCAAATATCTCAAATTCAGATGATTCATTTTGTTTTAAAAGAGGTGTGTAAGGCTTTTAAGATAGATTTATTGAGGGATAATTGATATAATTAGAACTGCACATATTTAAATCTACAATTTGATGAGTTTTAGCATAAGTCTGTGGAACCATCACTTCAGATAACTCCAGAATTTTTCTTGTACCCTTTGTAATTCAGTCCTCGCTCCTCCACACCCCTAGGCAACCTCTCATCTGCTATCTGCAAAGCTTCTACCCTGAAAGGTACTTCACATCTAAAATGCCTCTCAGGCCCTGATCGGTTTGGCTCAGTGGATAGAGCGTCAGCCTGCAGACTTAAGGGTCCTAGGTTCGATTCCCATCAAGGGCATCTACCTTGGTTTCGGGCACATCCCCAGTGGGGAGTGTGCAGGAGGCAGCTGAATTGATGTTTCTCTCTCATCGATGTTTCTACCTCTTTATCGCTCTCTTTCTCCCTTCCTCTCTGTAAAAAATCAATAAAGTATATTAAAAAGAAATAAAATGCCTCTCAGGAGGCTTTTCTCCTCCCCAGCTTTACTGAGATGTAATTCACAAATGAAATTGCATACATTTGAAGTATACAATGTGATGATTTGATACACTTATACATTGTGAAATGACTACCACAATCAGGTTGTTAAACACATTCATCACTTCACATAGTTACCTTTTAAAAAATATATTTTTATTGATTTCAGAGAGGAAGGGAGAGGGAGAGAGAGATAAAAACATCAATGATGAGAGAGAATCATTGATCGGCTGTCTCCTACACACGTCCCACAGGGGATCAAGCCCGCAACCCAGGTATGTGCCCTGACTGGGAATTTAACCCAGGGGGGAACTCTTGATTCCTGGGCTGACACTCAATTGCCAAGCCACACCGACCAGGCTAGTTATCTTTTTAGTGGTGAGAATGCTTAAGGCCTATTCTCAGCAAATTTCAAGAATACAATACAATAATAATATAGTTAATATTGTTAACTATAGTTACCATGCTATACATTCTATCCCCAGAACTTAACTGGAAGTTTGTACCCTTTGACCTACATCCCTCCATTTCCCTCATCCCTCAGCCCCTGGCAACCACCATTGTATTCTCTGTCTTTATGAGTTTGACTTTTGTTTTTAGATTCTACATATGAGTGAGATCATGCAGTCATCTCTGTCTAACTCGTTTCACTTAACATAATGTCTTACAATTTCATCCATGTTGTCACAAAAGGCAGGATATTCTTCTTTTTTTGGAGCTGAATAATATTCTATTGTATACAGATACCACATTTTCATTAGCCACAGATCCATTGACAGGCATTTAGTTGCTTCCATATCTTGGCTTTGTAAATAATGCTGCAATAAACATGGCGTGCAAGTGTATCTTCAAGATCCCGATTTTCCTTTCCTGTTAAAGGCTGTTCTGATAAATAATTTGTTTCATCTGTGCTACAACACAAACAAGTCTTGACATTATAATGATAAGTAAAAGAGGTTAGTGTTATGACCACACAGTGCATAATTCCATTTATAGGAGATGTCCAGAATAGGGACATCTATAGAGACAGAAGTAGATTAGTGGTTGCCTAGGGCTGTGGATGTTGGGTAGAGAATAGAGACTGCTAATGGGCATAGCACTTGTTTCGGAGATGGAAATGCTCTAAAGGTGATTTTGGCAATGGGTTGTGCAAGTCTGTGAATATCCTAAAATTATTAAATTGTAAAAATACAGACCAAAACTAAACCAAAATCCAAATTTAAAATCTCCCCAAACTGACAAGTAGACCATAAATGAGCCAATCCTGAGTCTGTTTTATCATCTAAGTGTAATGCTGAGTCTACTTCTATGTGCTTGAAGTCCAAGATACAGTGAATCTTCCTTAAGCAATAATTTTTATACAGTCATACTAGTATAATGCATACACATAGAAGAGCCTACCTATTTTAAAGTTTATCAGCCTATTTGCTGCTTCATGGTACCTGCAACCTCCTCATTTGTCTTGCTGCCTGGACATACCTGTCAGATAGGCAGGCTGCAACAGAGCCCTCAAGTTTTCCTGAATATCTGCGGCATGAGATCCTATGGGAAGGCCATTGCTTTTCAATAGGGGTATTCTAAGCAAGATCATGAGAGAAATCCCAGCACTTCAGATTTGAATTTTCTTCCTGGTATAGGACCTCCCCAGATTTTATCTCAAAGCACACAACACTACTGCCCCTAGGAGTTTCAGACCTACATTTACCAGGAATTCAACTTCAAAGAACAGATCAAGGTGATTAGATACAAAGCAAACTCAGAGACATGTTTCTGTCTTTACATTAGTCTTCAAGTTTTTTTACATTTTCCTTTCTGATAACCAGTATCCTCATGATTTCATAAGAGTAGAAGGTCTAAAAATGCCAGTTCTGTTACTAACTTGGAAATTAAACACTTTTTCACACATGGGTCTTAAAGAAATAAGGCTTTGTTCATGGGGGTTGTATTATAGTTTTGTTGATTAATATTATATATTATTTGTTTAACTTTTATGAAATCAGTGATGGTATTAGCAAATCATTAAAACTTTTTTTCTGCAGCTATAGATTTTTCTTCTTTAAAAAACATTTTTTATTGATTTTAGAGAGGAAGAGAGAGAGAGAGAGAGAGAAATAGAAATATTAATGATGAGAGAGAATCATTATCAGCTGCCTCCTGCATGCATTCCAGTGAAGACTGAGCCCATGACCCTAACCAGGTAAATAGGTCGATGCTGAACCACTGAGTGACACCGGCCAGACTAGATTTTTCTTCTTTTATTTAATATTCATTTTCTTGCCCTAACCGGTTTGGCTCAGTGGATAGAGCGTCGGCCTGTGGACTGAAAGGTCCCAGGTTCGATTCTGGTCAAGGGCATGTACCTTGGTTGTGGGCACATCCCCAGTGGGGGGTATGCAGGAGGCAGCTGATCAATGTTTCTCTCTCATTGATGTTTCTGACTATCTCTCTCCCTTTCTCTCTGTAAAAAAATCAATAAAATATATTTAAAAATATTGATTTTCTTGAAAAGTTTCATGTAGATAAAATATTATTTTAAATGCTCTCAGGTTATTCAGTAATGGAAATGCCTGGTGAATCTTTCTGAGACTAGAAAAATCCTCATGTACTGATATATTTATATACTAAATATGTTTTATAGGTTAGGATTTAAATTTTATTATTTCTCTTAAACTATACTATTTTTAACATATTTTGAGTGTCCAAAAATGGACCATTGTCATTAAACATCCATGCTCAATACTCAAAAGTCAACTGCACATCATATGCTTGAGAATGTCAATAATAAATAGGATAAATTTGGGACTCCATGAATATGGGTGCGAAATATCTAGCACTTCCTCTTGTTAGGTGTGACCACAGTGTGGCCTTCTTTGCAATAACAAATGTTTCTAATGCAACCAGTTGAAGATATGAGATGTGGGTGCTGCAAATCTAAGGGAAAAAAAAGACTTTGGTTGGAGTACTTGAACCATTCTCTTCTTGTGGGACAGGTTATATCTGGTAAAATTAATACAGGGTATTGTGAGATGATGTATAGTTTAAAGGAGATTTAGTAGACAGTTTCTTTTACTTTACACAGGAGGAAGGTAGTTCTCTTTTCTATGATCATTTTTGATGGATTTTGTATACTTCTACCC